TTATATTTTCCCTGATTCAATTTACTTGGTAATGCAAGACAAACAAAATTTTAGTGAAACAAATTATTGAGCTTAATGTAGTTTAGGAAACCAAGGTAATATTAGTTTAAAATATTGTCCCAAGTAGTGCAATATTATCAAATTATACATGCAAGGCAAAATGTAGAAGTTTAACTACAAATTTAACTTTAACTTTAATTTATCTAAGCTTAAACAACTGTCTCAAATTAGTTATGATATTCTAATAACTACTAATATTTTGATTTCCGATCTTTTGAAATTTAGTTTTAACAGAAACTGAGTGTCAGTTTAGATTTTTTCTTTATTTTTATTTGGGAAATGAATTTGTTTTTGTTTTTTATATAGTTTCATCATGTTTCATAATTGGATTATTTTTATAAAAATATTTAAGAAAATGTTATTTTCTTTAATCCAACTCACTAGATCATGCTTAATACAGTGCTAACAATATTTAAAACAAATAAATTATGGTGATAAGGGTAATTTATCAAACCATGGCAATGTAATTTTAAAATATCGCCTCAAAGAATACAAATTATACATATAAAGCAAAATGTAGTAGTTCAACTATAATTTTAACTTTAACATTTTTTAAAATTTAAACTTAAACAACTGTCTGCAGTCAGTAATGATGTACTGATAATCACTGACATTTTGACTTCAGTTTATTTTGAAATTTGGTTTTAATTACAAATTTTCAATCACAATGATTTTTCTTTCATATGGGCCATATTATTTTTATTTCTTGTAATGTTTTGCTTTTAAATTGTTAGTTGAATTTATGAATGTTCAAGATGTTTTAGAAAGGAATATTCTCTCTAATTCTATTTACCTATATAAATTAATCATAACTTAAGCAAACACATTTTAGAAAAAAAAATATTGTGATTAATAAAGAATTATCAATTTAAGGCGAAATGGCTGATATATTATTACCAGGAATTTTATTTGTTAACAAAATTATAAATAAAAAATTAAAGAATATAATACGCAAATAAACGCAAATTAGTGTGATAACAAATTATGAAAGAATGAATCAGTTTTCGATGAAACTGAGAAACAATAGTTCAGAAAATCAATAAATGAGCAAATATATAAACCAGTTAATCTATAAATAAGCAATGGATTAAGAATTAATGACTCTGCGAATCAAATAAAATAAAAAGTAGCCAATAACTAGATAAACGCGGAAGTAATTACATGAGCATAATCACACTGCGATCATTCGCATGAAAAAAAGAATATGATTATCCATTGCAAGTTATCCAAGCAAATTTTTGATCTTTAGTTTTGCAAGCTTTTGATTCATTGGTAGGAACTTTGAACTTCATAAGGTGTTCAATGGCTGAAATACAAATGAATTTAAAAATAATTTTTTTTAAAAACAATTAATTTAGCATGTTGATATTGATATTATAAAGTTGGCTTCATAAAGTGCTCGGTTCTATCTGTAACCATTTATCATAATTTAATTCTTCATTTAAGCAGTTTTTCATGTTAAGATGTAATTTCTAGCCCGTATCACTCTAGAATAAAAATACGAACAATTGAAATAATACATCAATCAACATCTTCTACAACGGGTGTTAATCTTCATCTTCAGGATAAATGTTCTATTAATATCACCTTTCTTTCAACAACATTCAACTAATAATAATCATCACCGTCTTTAACAAATCAAAATAAATTCCACAACAGCGTGGATAAAAATCGTTTTTCTATATTTAGAAAATCGTGGGCGACACCACCACAACGGTTTAGGGGGTTCAACCTTACATTACATTTTGCACCTTAAGAACGTGTAAACACGTAAATATGTGTGTTTCTTTTCTTAACTAACGTTAAAAGTAGTTGCCAGGAAACACAACGAACTACTGTTTCCGTATCGTACAACTAACTACACTACTTTTTTCTTTAAAAAAAGTTGGACACTACACTACAAACTACAAAAAAAGTAGCAACTTCCAGTCTTTCACTACTTTTTGTTCGCTACTTCATACGACTGGTATTAATATTGAGATTTATGTGTTATATTTAATTGCGAATCATTTTTATAAACTTATGATAAAAAGCATTATATTTTAATAACTAGTTTTTAAAAACTGCGTCCTAAATGCATATATGGATCGCATGCACCATTTCTGTGATTTGTGATAAGCATTTTATTGCTAGAGTGTTCTTTTAGTGTTCTTTTTATACTTAAGCCTATATTTGATTATAAATTTAGAAATAATAAAAACAAATTTCAACACTAAAATCCTTATCATTGCCTTTTACTATTTCACACAAATTTATTTTTTTCACTTGCCTTTCATAGCATTCAGTCATAAAATATTAACAAAGGCTTTGAAAACCATAGCACATAATTCACAAGAGATTAAAGTAATACTTTAATTGCAATGACTTTCGGAATCGGATTTGATAGTAGCAGAGGCAGTCATTAATGTTTTTTACTCTTAATGGTCCTTCAGTTAAAATGTTTTCAAAAATTAAAAAAGATGAGTGCTTTTTTCTAAAATTTTAACGATAGTGGTATAATAAGAAAATTAGCATCATTTAAAGATAGAAAACCCATTATATAAATTTCCTTTTAATGCTAGATAATTATAGGGTTCATTAAGATACTTAAGAAATACTTTTTTGTTTTAGTTTTTGAAAAATAAATTTATTTAATCCTTTTCTTATAAATTGATGCCATTAATCACGCTAAAATAGAAGGAAATCTCATTAGTAAATAAACACTTTTTAAGCAATTTTGCATTGAAATTGACAAGCAATTAAGCATTAACTGTAAGATTTAATGAATGGTAAGCACTTTATATTTAATTTATTTTGACTATTTATTAAAGTTACGTCAAAATTTAATTTGCAGTTTTCCGATTCATGGCAAACATTTAAACTTCAAACCGAAGTAATGAAATAGGAAATTTTGACTAGCAAGTTGAAATTACAGAAACTGTAGGGTTTGTTTACATGAAATAGTTCGGACACAAACCTACTTCGATGTAACATTATTTTATAATCTTTTTTTATCTACAAATGCAGAAAGTCTGCAGTGAGTAAAAAAAGTAAAATCAACACAATATGCTAAAATTTACCGTGTTTCTGGCTCTGCTTGAGCACCAAAAAGCTAGGTAATTTTTGCCGATGCACTTTGGTATTGTTAAAATTAACAATAAAATTAACTTTGGTAAAATTAACAATAAAATCTGGTTTTATGATATGAGATAAAATTTGTTAATTTTATCATTATAACTTAAAACATAGCATAAAAATCATTTATTCGGTTAAATTATTTTCTTTTCAGTTCTGCATTTCTTACGAGATGTGTGATAATAAGTAATTTGCCAAAATTTTCAGTAAATTTTTATCATATGACTGGAAAAATTACCAACTGAATGGTAATTTTATACCATATATTTTGGTTTTCTTAACCAGAATTATGATTATCCTTATCAGAAATGTCATTACCTTGCATTGCGGTAATTTACAATATTTTTTTCCACCTTTTAGTTTCGTTTTAATATTAGAGCTCTTTGTTAGTCAAACCTATTTTAATATTACTATTCAAAAAAAATTTTCCCTACAGGATAAAAAGATATTTTAATTTAAATTTCCTTTGCACATTGTAAAGAATTCCGGATCAAAAAAACAAAAAAAGTACTGGCACTCAAGGTGACAGTACTTTTTACCGTAAAATCCAAAGCCCTTCGAAAAACGCTGCTGAGATTATATCATTTTATTATAAGTTAAATAATAATATAATTTATTTTTCACTTGTGTTGCTATACTAGAATTTCTAGTAATCATTTGTCATCAGAATGGAAAAATGACCAAATGAAAAAATCACAATTATGATTGTCATTACCATACAGTCTGAAAATTCTGATATGATAATATACAATATGAAAATTCTGATATTTATAATAAGCTAAATAATAAGATTATTTTTTTTCACTTGTGTTACTATACCAGTATTTCTAGTAATCATTTGTCATAAGAATGGAAAAATGACCAAATGAATGTTTACATATCACAAAATTTAGTTTTCTTAATCAGAAATATGATTGTCATTGCCATACAGTATGAAAATTTCACCAGAATATTTCTCTTCACGTAGTTTTGCTTTCATAAGGGGTCACAACACCTTTGCAACAATTTTTTTAAATAAAGGTATAATCATTTATTTTGTTGATGCTTTGCATGCTCATTTAACTTATAATCAATAATTTATATTCAAAAAATAATTAAATTGTTTAATTTTTCTTAAATTTTAAAAAAATTTGAAAAAATTCAAAACTTTTAAATTCTTAAAGCTATTTTATTTTAACATATTTTAAAAATTTTTTCTTAGTGCTTACTATATTCATCATAAAAATTTTGTGCATTTTTTTGCTGATATATCAATTTGAATATTTTTTATAGATTATTTTGTAAAAAAGTAGAAAAAAAGGCTAAAAACTCGTATATATAACATGCTGTAAAAGGTATATATAACATGCTGTAAAAGTTGTAGTACCTCATAAAATGCTTATTCCATGCATAGTTTAAATAAGTGCATTATACTTAGGGTAAAAAAGTTTACTTCAAAGCTTTATCTTAAATAAAAAGCACTCCTTAGGGATTTAGTTAAGAAAAATGTAGATAAAGAGATGATTTTTTTCAGTGCATTTGAAATAGTTGGAAGTTTTAATATAACCAATAAATAAATTTCGATATTTTGGTCATTTTTTGGGTACTGTGACCAGATCTATTTGTAATTTAAATTTATTTTAATATGACTATTTAAAAACAAAGCTCTTCCCTAATTTGAAAACGGAAGTCTTTATTTTTTAATAATTTTTTCAAGTTTCTTAATTAAGATATTTTAATTTGGGTGCCAGTACTTTTTACTGTAAAATTCAAAACGCTCCGAAAAGTGCTGTTAAGATTATATTATTTTATAATCAGTTAAATAATAATATATTTTTATTTTTCAGTTGTGTTACAGCGTTATGAAATTAGATTATTTGATGAATTTGTCTTAAGAGGCAATATGGCTGTTCTTCGCTGTCCTGTTCCTAGTTTTGTTTCTGATTATGTAAAAGTTACTTCATGGGAAAGAATTGATGGATTTTTAATAACTCCTGGAATTATTAGCGGTAAGAAGTTTTTTTAGAATTTTGATAAAAATATGTTTTTTAGATGTTTCAAGATTACTTCTTTCTTAAAACTTAAGAGGAATAATGCTATAACAAACGCTAAGGAAATAGTGGTTTTAATAATGTCTTTTAATAATTTTCACAGACTGATTTAAATTATATTGCAAATAAAATTATGAAACTAAAAATATTAATGCTGATCATATGTTGTTGGTAGCTGCCTGTATATTTTGTGAAATTTTAAATTTAAAATAGAAGTATTAAACAAAATTTTGAGACGTTGGTTATTTCACAAACACAAATTAAAAACAGCTTTAAAGTATGTTGTAAATTAATAAATAATTATGAAAAAACTATATTTAATATTGATATTATTTTTTGTACAATTTTAAATTTAAAAAAAGAAGTAGTATACGAACCATTTAAAACGAAAGTTTTTTAATACAAACACAAAATCAAAACAGATGCATGATATGCTGTGAATTAATATATAATTATTTCAAAAATTATAGTGTTTGTCGCATGCTATTAATATCTAGTTATATTTTAGTGCAATTTTAAGTTTAAAAGAAAAGTAATATACGAAACACATTTGTGATGCTAGTTATTCCACTAAAACAAATAAAAAGCAGATGTAAAATATACTGTAAATTTAAGTATAATTATTAAAAAATAATAATGTTGGTCGTTTGCTGTTAATATCTAGTCATATTTTTGTGCAATTTTAAGTTTAAAAGAGAAGTAATATACGAAACAGTTGATCAACACAGCACACGCAAATTAACGCAAAACTTAAATTAAAAATAGATGTAAAATATGTTGTGAATTAATATGTGATTATTAAAAAAATTTTAGTGCTTGTCTTATGTTTATTGAAATTTAGTTATATGGTCGTATACTGTTAATATCTAGTCATATTTTTGTTCAATTTTTAAGTTTAAAAAAGAAGTAATATACGAATTAGTTGATCGAGACAACAAACAAAAATTAAAGCAAAATTTAAATTAAAAAAAGATATGTTGTTGTAATTTACAAAATATGTTGTAAATTAATATATAATTATTTAAAAAATTGCAGTGCTTGTCTTATGTTTGTTGAAATTTAGTTATTTATTTTTACAATTTTCAATATAAAAGAGAAATTATACCTTAGCATTTGAGAACTTAGTTATTACACTAACCTAAATTAAAGATAAAAAGTATGTTGTGAATAAATACATAATTAATGTAAAAATTGTAGTGTTTGTCTAGTTAAAAGAACTACTCAATATTTCTTTTGTACAACTTCTGTTTCACAAGGAAAAAAAAGCAATAATGCTAAACATTTGAAACTTCATTTATTTCACAAATAAATTTTGATAACTATTCAAGATAGGAACAAAATATATCGAGAATAAAAAATTGTAATTCTTGCTGCATTTTGTTGAATAAATTTCAGTTCAAATGTTACATAAAATTCGAGCGACAATATATTCACATTTTATTTCAAAGATTTGTTTTGAAAATTTATCAAATTCATGCACAAGATATAGTTAAAGTTTATTAACCAAACTTTAATTAAAGTTTTAAAAAAATAAATTTTCAGTTCAAATTTTCAAAGAAATATGGAATAGTTTATTTATTTCACGTCAAATTTCACGTCAAAGTAAATGAAAATAAGCTTAATGCATTTTTATTAACATTTTCACACTTTTCTATTTCTGAGTATTTGCAATTTTAAATTTTTTCCCTGTCTCAAAAGTATAAAACGTGACTATTTTAAATTTCTTTTATTTAATATTTTATGACTAAGAATAATGTAAAAAAAATAAATAGTCCTTTTTTAAAAAAAAGGAAAAGCATATTTTAAATTCTTTTTTTCTTTGCAGATAATGTACTTCCGAATCCATGACTCTCTTTTAAACTACAAAAAAGAGAGGCTTTTTGAAATAAATAAATAAAGCTTATAATAAAAATGTTGATTAGGGAAAACTAATTACCTTTTAAATGTCTTTTTTAAAAAGTTTTAAAAAAGTAAAAATAATGAATGCAATAAAATATGAAAAAATGCATTATGAAACAAACGGTGAAAAGTATTCTGGTAAAAAAAAAAACTTTATAGGAATGCCATTTCTAATAAAAAAAGAAGGAAAAAAAAGAAAACATAATACTGGGAATTAGAAAATACCGTATTTTGACCATTGAGGTTCCGGTTTAACGAAAATTCAGATAGTCAAAATTATATAGTCATTTTAACTACACATGGAGTAAAAAATATTAAACTGATAAATTTAATCGAATAAATGGTTTTTATGCCATGCTTTAATATATTATAAAATTAGCACATTTAACCATATTTGAAAAATTTTATCACATATTATAAAACCATGTTTCAATATTAATTTTGGCAAAATCATTACCAAAGAGTTTCGGTAAAAAACGCCGAGCTTGTTGGTGCTCCCACATAGCCAGAAATGCAGTTTTTTTTAACGTATTTAATAATTATTTTTATCTCACTATACTTTATTTCTCATTGTGCATGCAATTTGCTTTTAGCCAAATATGGTATGTTGGATAACGGAGATCTTTATATACGAGATACGACGGAACATGATGGATCTTATAGTTTTAGATGCCACACTGAAAATGAGATTACTAAAGAGAAGAAATCTAGCATGAATTATTCAAGAATCATTGTAACAGGTAAATGTTTATTTAATATCACCAAAATTTCAATCAGATTGATAAAAATCTATTAAAAGAGTTTATTATAATTAATATAAAGAATAATATATAAGTTTAAATAAATGTTTTCGTAATTTCACTCAATCTTTTTTTTTTAACAATCAAAAGGTTGCGGGTTTTTTGTTTTTAAAGTAGCATTTTAAATTGGTCATGTAAGAGATTTTTAATGACATTCTCGATAAAAAAAAAAATAAGCATCACGAGTTTTATGTAAGCGACAGTATGCTGTTTCCTTCTTTTCCTTCTTTTCTGTTTTAATCAAAAAACTTGCAAAATGCCTATCTGGAAACAATACTGCGGAATAGCGTGATGTAAAAAATGCCATTATTGGTAAACTGAAGCTGATTTCTAACTATCTTTTTAAGCTAGATTGGACACGCATCTAAGTATACGGAATCAATCATATAAAGTGACATTATTATTTAATGCGAGTTGAATTAAATAAAATGTATAATGCGCAGATAAACTGACCAGCCTGGAAAAATTGCGGATATAAGGATCGGATCTTTATGTTCTAGGACTCAATCTTAATAATTCGATGGGGTAACATATATGCTACTTGATTAGTGTGCACCATATTGTAAGCTACGAAATCAGTAGCAAAAACGTATTTCTGAATTAGTTCACCTTTTCTCAATGAATTCGGATTTCTGTAACCCAAAATATAAGGAGTTCGGTCAGGAGCGCGGCCCACAGTATGGACATCTAAATTGTAATTTTACTATCTGTGTATTTCAGCATGTCTTGTGATTTTTATAAGCAAATTGTAAATTTTTGCACAAAATTATAAAATTTGCTTATCCAAGGATAATTCCACTAAAAGTAGAACTTTAAATAAAATTTTTTTATTTATTTTCTTATTTTATTTGATTGTAGTCAGAAAAAGCTTGTGAACTATATGGTATACAATCTTTTATTTCACTTTAAAAAATGCAATTTTAAGTGCAAAAAAACAAATCGTGAGCAAAATCCATCAAATAGTTTCTGAAAAATAAAATTTTAAAAAATACCACTTTTTTAAAATCGCATTTCTCAGGAATTACTCGACCTATTTTAAGCCATTTAAAATTACATTTTTTAAAAAAAATAATGTAAACGATTAAAGTTATATTAGCATGCAATTATCTTTGGATAAACAAACTTTTTAATTGAATGCAAAAATTTTTCGATGCGCTTAAAATGTTGGCGAGATAGGCTGAAATATTCCAGAAATTAAAATAAACTTTTGAACGCCCTCCTGAACAAGTCCGTATTTCCCAGATAACCTTCTTCCTGACATCGTATTTCCCAGATAACGACTACCCCTAATAATTTGTGGGTCAGAAATCCAAATCCATCGAAAAAAATGTTTTTTTTAATCAGAGAAAGTTAATTGGCATATTTGAGGTAACCCCTTCAAACCTTGAAGATGGAGACCAAGAACGTGAAGTTCCGATCACTAAATTAAATTATTCAGGGTCGTCTGGCTTTTTTTTTACTTTGCACACTTACCTATCGAAATCTACATGCAATTTAAAATATTTTTTTTATTATTTTAAACCTTTGATTAAATTAAACAGTTTTTTAAGTTCAAGAAGAAACGTTTACATTTTACCCACCAATGATTCAAAACTAGTGATTTTACTATAAATTAGCTCATTTCTTTGTATTTTAAACAAACATCAAAAATAAGGCATGATTTCCTACTTAAATATATTTTCAATCTTTCACTTTTAACAGATTTAAATAAAACTAAAAGTCTGTCTCTCTCTTCAACAATAATATGTTTTTCAATGATTGTTGTAATAATATTTGTAAAACAAACATTAAATAGTTTATATTAAATTCAATATTTTTGATATTTCCGAAAATAATTCAATTATATCATGCCATTTTCTTTACAACGATGTAATCCTATAGATTTGATCAAACGAAAAAAAAAAATCTTTCTTTCAGAACCTCATCATAATCAGCCTCCAAGAGTAACAGGGAAGTTGAATCGTGTAACTGTACCCGTAGGACATCGAGCCACTCTTCCTTGCATTGCTCAAGGATATCCAGCACCAACTTATCGTTGGCAGAGGACTCAAGAAGATAAAAGGCCACTTCCAGATCATTCTGTATCCGTCAGCCAAGAAGGAGGTGTTCTGATATTTCATAAGGCTCAGTTAAGTGACTCGGGTCGTTATGTCTGCAGTGCAACTAATAACCTTGGAGAGGACAAAATAGAAACTGATCTTATCGTTGAAGGTAATTTCCTAAAATAATTAAGAATATATGCGTAAAAAAAATATTATACAGTGCCCAAAAAAGCGAACCACCCTGAATAACTTTTGATCTAAAGGGTGGATCTTCGCGTTTTAGGACTCAATATAAACAGTTCGAGGGGATGACCTCAAATATGCTAATTAATCTGTGCTGACGATATTTTAAGTTACGAAGTCAGACACAAAAACATACTTCCTCTAAGTAAATATATATTTGTTTTACAATTTCAAAGTTTTTATCTTAAAATTGGTTTAAAGCAATTTCATACTTTGATCAAAAATGCTAATTAATAAAGATAGACGATATTTTAAGTGACGAAATTCAGATTCCTGACGACGGACTCAGATTCTTGACCCCTAAAATATAGGGGGCAGTCGTAATCTGAAAAATATGGCCCCAATAGTTTGGCCAGGAGTGTTCTCCAAAGTTTGGACCCCTTAATATTAATTTTACTTTTTGCGTATTTGGTTATGAGAGGAGAACTTTTTCAGTTAATTAATTTTTTTACATTCAGTTATAAAATTCGTTTGTCCAAAAATAATTCCATGCGAAAATAACATTTATTAAGTATTTATTATCTTTTATTATTTTATTTAATTATAGTATTTTGTTTCAATTTTTTAAATATCTGACTTTTTCAAATTCAATTTCTCAAGCACTAGTCGACTAATTTTGCTCAAATTTTGTATTTTGCCATGTGAAATTGGTATTTTTTAAATGATGTAAAAAGTTGTATACCTTACAATTCAAAATTGTTTCGCAGAAAAAGGTCTCCAGACACAACGAAATACGCAAAAAGTAAAATTGACTTTAAAGGATCAAAACTTTGGAGCGTTTTCCTGACCACACTATTTGTATCATATTTTTCCAGATTGCAGCTACCCCCTATATTTTGGAAGTTAAAAACCTGAATCTGTCAAAAAAAATTATATTTACGTCCAATTTTTTGATACCTCATCCTACACTGTTAAAATTTTCATTCTAAAATTGCGTTAAAATAACTGGCAGCTGTCTGTCCATGCGATTAACCGTAAAGTTTAAGGTAAAGAACATTTTTTTCCTTTATGGTTTTGAAAACATTTACAGAAAGTATGGTTGTAAAATCATGAATACAAAGCTATACTGTTTTTTAACCATTTACAACTTGCATTTTTCAAAAACGTAAAAAAAGGAAAAAAAAAATTTAACTAGACATAGAAGCTCGGCTTTTCGTAAGGTAATGGGCATTGGAGAGTGCCGGACAATAGAAATTCTTCATGTATTGAAAGGAATGGAGCAAATATTGTGGTGTCAGCACTAGGACTAGAACTCCAGTTCTGCCGGTCATGATATGGACAGATAAGCCCGCGCGGCTATGATACGTGCGCATTTGCAAAGAACCAAGTAGCTTTATTAGGTGGTTCTAGTTGGTGCGACAAAATTCTAGTTGTTTAACCGTACTAGGTGAAAGCAGTTAATAAAGAGTTTTTCTCAAACTTAACAGTTTGATTTCCATTTTATTTATGGTTATTTGACTGTTTTGATTAAATATGGGGAAATAACCATTCAACAAATTGTTATTTAATCATTTTTTTCCGCGAAATTTCTAACAGTGTAGCTTACAGCTAGCAACAACTAAATAACGTATTTAAGGTTAACTCATTGAACCATTAAGTTTCATTTAAGTTATTCTTAGAAGAATTTTTTTTCTTACAGTACAATGATGAGAGCATATATAAAGAGATGTGCAAATAGATTCAATGCAATTTTATTTTTCTTAATATTTATATTTATAATTGCAAAATAAAATTACTTTGAATACAGAACTATTTGAAATAATCAATGAAGTAAATTGGTTTGTATATTTTAAAAATTACCTTTCATTTCCGCTGTTTATTTGCCAAAACCCCAAATTACTTTATCATGAGATTTTGTTTTGAGTCATCATGAGTCCTCAATAAAGAATCAACGAAGTCCTAAAAGCAATGACTGTAAAGAACTAAAAATTCATAAGAAATACTAGTCTTAGAAATAGTGATGATTACGTAAAAGTCAGACTTTGGCATGAAAAGCAATCAGAAAGAGAACTTATTATTATGCCCCCCCCCGAGATACTTTGCCCCTACAGTATTATTTTTTAATTTAAACTATGTTATCCAGATCTTCTCTCGAAAAATAGCAACAGTTTCATACCTATTTATTATAAACATAATTTGTTAAGAGCAACAATAAGTACAAAAATCAATCATGGCAAATTTAAAAGTTTATAATTTGTTACATGAGCTATTTATTATTCATTAAAGTTCTGCTTAGTGTTCGATAAATATTTATCTGTTTTGGGGTTTCATCGCTTTAAACAATCGAAAACTTTTTGGATCCACAATTTCAAACTGAGAAAATACTGATTTTATTCCTCTTTTTTTAAGAAATTAAATATTATTATGGATGTCGGCATAAAAATGGTCATAAATATTTTAAATCAGTAGGAAAAATATTTTTCAGCGCATTAGTAGTCGCCGTTGATGAATTTCAGTATTCGATAAATGATTTTTGCAGAAAATTGGATTTCTGTCTTCTACAAATGGAAGAAAAATAAATTTATGTGTGTTTATGTATCAGAAATTTATTCATGATTTTTACTCGAAGCTCGAATTTTATTAAACATAAAGAATATACTTTGGGCAGAACATTAAATGCATTGAAATTTAATAATGTGAGTTGGAGAGGAAAATTTAAATATTCAACCTTAACGTGATTCAAATACCCCATGGGTAAACATTTTGCGTTAGAAATATTTTATGAAAGTGTATTTTAAATTATGCATATTTTTATCTGTCTTTTCATGCATCATGGAATAAATCAATAAATACATTTACGAATAATATGATGAAACAAAAAATCTTATTTATTTAATAAACACTTTTTGCGCCATATTTAAATTTATCGTTTAACAGTGGGAAGTTTTTTTTCTCCACATAAATTACATTTTAATACAAAAGTTAATTTTGTAATAAATATTAAAGTAGTAACTATCGAATTTTACTTTTATTTTTAATGTTCCCATTTAATATGCACGTTTTGACTTCAATAAGCAATTAAATAATTCGTATTCAATAATTATCATCTCAATAATCAATAATTATTCATTATCAATAATTATTATCAGTAATTATTCATTTAAAAAAAGAATAATTATTGATAATCGGGTATGCACTTTAAAAATGTACAGATAAAATTACGGAAAAATTAGAGGCTACCTGAGAGACCCCTATTTTTACCGAAAAAGTTCATACCGTAATTTTATTGAACTACAGTGATTGTACAGAAAATTGTACTTCAAAAATTATGGTACGTCAAATTATTCCGTAAAATCTTACGATAATTGTTACCGACATCCTCAGTACCGGTACAACCTTCTGTTTCTTAAGTACTATTACATTATAAATTCTAATACACAGGCGATTAGGCTGATGATAGACTGATTCTAATAAATAGATGAAATATTTTATGAAATTGTATTTTAAATTATGCATATTTTTATCTGTCGTTTCACGCATCATGGAATAAATCAATAAATGCATTTACGAACAATATCATGAAACAAAAATTCTTATTTATTTAATTAACACTTTTTAAACCATATTTAAATTTATCGTTAAACAGTGGAAAAAAATCACATTACATTCACATTATATTCATTTACATACATAAATCACATTACATTCAAAAAATAATCTTATAATAAAAATTAATGTAGTAACTATCTAATTTAATTTTCATTTTTAATGCTTTCAATTAATGAGCATGTTATGACTTTAATAAATGATTAAAGAACTTGTAAGCAAGCCATCATTTAAAAAGAATAATTATTGATAATCCGATATGCATTTTTAAAAATTCCGGAAAAAATTAGTGACACCCTGAGAGACCTCTATCTATTTTTACCCTGAAAATGTATACCTTAATTTTTACAGTAATATTTATTTAACTGGAGTGATTCAGTGATTTTTCACAGAAAATATAACTTTAAAAAGTATGGTATGTCAATAATTTTGTTCCGAAAAACATTACAATAAATGGTAACGGCACCATGAGTACTGGTACAGTCTTTTGATTTTTGGGTGTTATCACATAAGGTTTTTAATAATATTAATTTAAAAACAAGTTTTTCTGAAAGAAAAACTGTCTGAAAAATTATTGAAATTAGCCCTGATTATCGGTACAATCTTTCGATTTTTGTGTGCTATTACATAGAAAGAAAAATAGTCTGAAAAATCTCCTCTTAAAAATCATTGTAAAGTTTAAATCGTAAAACTTTTATGATGATTATTCTTACCAGTCCCAAATTTTAGTCGTCTGATTTTTCTGTATTATCACATTAATTTTTAATAATATTTTAAATTAAAAACCGTTTTGCTTGAAAAAAAATAAGTAGACAAACTTTATCTAAAAAGTCATTGTTTGAAAAAATTAAAATGTATTTTTCGTTGTTTTGCTTTGAGTGACTCTTGTTTACTAATTCTAATTTGCATATTGTTGAAATTTGCTGTAAATTACAACAAAAGAAATTGCTTACAAACGAGTGTAATAATTTTAAAGATAAGAGTTTTTGCTAAAAAAAAGGTTCCAAAGCATTTTATTCGCAATGTTTTATACAATAAATCTGAATTATGGAGCAATAAATATAATGGCCCAACGAATAAAATTTATCACGATGTATTTTACGCCTAAAACAAGCATTCATCTGATTTATGTTTGTTTCTGAACTTAAAGTTCTGGTAATCCTCACTTAGATATGCAAACGACTTTTTCGTACGCAGTACTTTGTTTTTTTATGGTAATTACACCAACCAAAAAATATGTTTAGTAAATGTTTGTTTTAATTTAACAAAATGAAATTCCAGCTGTTGANTAGACAAACTTTATCTATCTAAAAAGTCATTGTTTGAAAAAATTAAAACGTATTTTTTGTTGTTTTGTTTTGAGTGACTCTTGTATACTAATTCTAATTTGCATATTGTTGAAATTTACTGTAAATTACAACAAAAGAATTTGCTTACAAACGAGTGTAATAATTTTAAAGATAAGAGTTTTTGTTAACAAAAAAGTTCCAAAGCATTTTATTCGCAATGTTTCATACAATAAATCTAAATTATGGAGCAATAAATATAATGGCCCAACGAATAAAATTTATCACGATGTATTTTACGCCTAAAACTAGCATTCATCTGATTTATGTTTGCTTCTGAACTTAAAGTTCTGGTAATCCTCACTTAGATATGCAAACGACTTTTTCGTACGCAGTACTTTGTTTTTTTATGGTAATTACACCAACCAAAAAATATGTTTAGTAAATGTTTCTTTTAATTTAACAAAATGAAATTCCAGCTGTTGAATTTGTTTCGTTTATACCAGAAAAATTTAAAAGAAAATATATTATACAGACAGAAATGTAAACATAGAGTAGCTATTTTGCCCAAAATACCGACACTAGAATTGAATTAAAAAAATAAATCGCTGAGAAGGATCAAAAAGAATTTTTTTTCTTTTACTTTTCATTCTGCTCTTCCGAGAATTTGATATTTTCTAGAACACTTAAACTGTATTGCTCTAGGTAAATATTTTAGGTAGTTATGTAATTAGTTTTAATTCTTTTTATGTTTAATTAGTAATTTTTTGAATCAAAAACTATGAAATCAAATCAAATAGAAAAATATAGTCTTAACAAAATAACTATATATAAATGTACAGGACACTGCACTCTCAGAAATAAAACTCTCAATTTTAATGATTCTTGAGCTATGAGTCGTTCAGTCGTTATGATCTCAAAAACTCAACTTTTTTAATTATAAAAGGGCTGGCTAAACAAAACAAAAAAACTGTTCTTGTAAACATATCGTGTCTTGTCTTTTTTCCTAAATAGAATACATGCTAACCTCAATATCCCATGTCCATTAATTAAGGGTTGCGAGGTCATTCATTTGCTAAATATAATTGTCGTATTCCGTTATTTTGGCCGATTGTCAATTTTTGCCAGTGTAATTGAAGTTTAAACCTGATTTAATTGGAAGCCGATTTAAAAACAGTTCTGTTGTATTGAAATACTCAAAATAAATGCGAAGTTTAATGCAACATACCATTTCGTTCTTGTATATACAATAACGTGTATATGTAAATGCGAATAAATACGTGGTATTTAATTTTCAATGTGGTATTTGTAGCTATTTGTAGCAATGTGGACTGCCTACTAGTTTTTAATTAGTTTCAGAAGTTTACTCTGTTTTTCATTGTTTCTTATCGCGCTTGGCCAATCCATGCACGCCATTCATTTGCCATTGCGAATTAAGCCAGGGAAGTACGCCTTTCGTTTGACAAGAAAGTACCGTAAAGGTAAAAATATGTTTTTGTTCAAGATTTTCCGGATAGATGGCAGTATCACTCATTTGCGATTCCCCTTCCGCAATTTTGACAGAGATCTGAAGGGAAAGAGAGTATTCTCCAACTCCCTGTACCGATGGTATTACTCAGTGACCGATCACAGGAATTTCGATCGATTCCACAGATTTTACGAACACGTATATCGCATGTACATGGTGGGAATTGGCGGAATCGAGAATCAAGCCCTGGCCCCTCCGGAAGTACGAATATCTAACCACTGGTATACCACTGCCAACTGCTTTTTGTTTTCTGAAAAAAATGATATGGAATAAAGTTACAACGAATAAGTGTTCGGAATAAATTTGTAAGCGTTTTATCCCATTTTTTTTTAAGCTGTTTAAAATTTTGCTATTACAATACTATTTTTACGATCCCCTTTTAGAGACCTCACAAACTTTAGATTAGGAAACACCAATCTACTATACTTAAATATTACTAAAAACACTTTAAATTGAAATTTAACACTGAACTTATCAATTTTGCGCCAAAACCACTTTTGAGAGATGAAACAAATGCAAACACATATTGACATTTGTTAATGTGAATTTAATATTTATTTTAGTTTAATATTTATTATGTGAATTTACATTTATTTTTCACTTATGAGAGATAAAACAATTCCATACAGATATGGGAGTTTTTTAATGTAAATTTGATATCATTTTTTTTAAACTTTTGAGAGGTAAAGGAAATCCATACACATATTTACGTTTTTTTAAAGTGAATTGAATATTTATTTTAATAAAATTTTCATTATGTGAATTTAATACTTATTTTTAGCTTTTGAGAGATAAAACAAATGCATGGAAGTTTTTAATGTGAATTTAATATTTATATTAGTTTACTACTTATTATTTGAATTTAATATTTATATTAGTTCACTATTTATTATGTGAATTTAATATTTATATTAGTTTACTATTTATTATGTGAATTTAATGTTATATTCGTTTATTATTTATTACATGAATTTAACATTTATTATAGTTTTATATAAAGTTTCAGTCTTATAACTTCAGATTTATACTTAAAACTCTTCAAAATTTCTATTTAAATGGAATTTTTAAATTTATGAGTCCGTGTTTATGTATACGTGTTTCTGAAATAGTTCCTTATAAAAATTAATAAAATTATGTAGAATTATGTAAAAATGTTGCCATACTTTTGCTTCCAATATTTTATTATTTTCTTTTTTATTGTAGAAGCTCTTCGCATAACTATTATCCCAGAAGACTTGCGTCTTGAAGTCGGGACAACAGCAACCTTCAACTGTTCCGTAATAGGGAATCCACCAGGTACTGTGACATGGAGAAAAGACATGCTTACCGTACTACCCAGCCACAGGCTAATATTTCCCAATCCATATCTGTTGCAAATTAGACAAATCAAGAGGCAAGATGCTGGTATTTATCAATGCTTTGTCCGGAGAGAAGGTCACTCTGCTCAGGCAGCTGCAAGACTTATCATTGGTGGTGAGTACACGTCGTTTTAAACAATGTATCTCGCACAAAACGTAACTTTATATACTAAGAAAACTGTTTAAACGTAAGTTACGAAAGTAAATAAATTATAAAAGCTATTTCTTTAGTATAAAATTGTCTTTGGAATATTGATGTAATTTAAAATTTGCATGGAGAAAAACCGCTGTGGTAAAATTAACGTATTCATATTTCTGGTAAAAGAAAGACGAAGAAAAAAAAACATAATTCTGATAATGAAACCAAAGTAAACATTATTTAAACCAGTGATTCTCAACCTGTGGGGCGCGCCCCCCTAGGGGGGCGCGATCACACTAGAGGGGTGGCGCGAGAATATTCAAGAGAAAATATTTAAAAAAAATTGATTAACTACATGAAAGGAAAACGCACATACACATAGAAAACAAAATACATTTCGACCTATATAATAACTTATAAAAGTGAAACAACCTATTGAATCAAAACTTAAGGTAGGGAGCCAAAAATGGCTTTGCTTTGAGGATTTTTCCTAATTTTCTGGTTAAGTCTGTGTGGCTGAAAATTTTTTTGTAACATCTTACACCTATCTCTAATATATATCACGTATACTTTTAATTGTAAAATAAAATTTCATTTATTTTATAGTACAATTTCAAAATTGTAGCTTCTGCGCCTAAGGTTTCCCACAGGTTCCAAAGGTGAGCCATATATTGAAATCACTTTTTCACTTACTCAAATTATCCTTAGAAAAAACATTTAGACTGGCAAACGTCTTTTAAAAAGGCACTTTAAGTGTCTTGTTGGTAGGAACAAGTTTCCCGATTTTGAAAAAGATATTTGTTTTTTCAGAGTGTATAATTTGTTTATTGATTTTACATTGATAGTTCTTGTGTGAAGTCACTAGCGATTCTTTTAATCTTTATTACTGAGTTAATTTTTTCAAAAGGATTAACTAACAAGAGTTAAATAACCATACTAGAGTTAACTAACCTAACCCATAACTAGTATAAAAATACCCAAATTTACAAGAAAATACCAGAATCGACCACAAAAACACTCATAACTACCGGGAAAAAAAATACCGGAAAAATTACTTTAAAATGCAAACAATACAAAAAACTTGTAACAAAATATCGCAAACTCTACTAAAGTGCAGAGAACGTCAAAATATTATAAAAGTTTAAAAAATACCAAAGTTCCACATTTGCTTAAAATGAAATAAATCAATTGGCATTCAATTCAATCCTTCCTCTTTGAGAAATAACATGCTACGTAATGATTTATAATGAACTCTTTTATAGATTTCACGTTTGTTTCCGAAGGTGGCCCCTGTGTCCCCAAGGTGGCACCGGGGTCGCGCCACCTTGGGAACATGCATATGATCACCATTTGCACGACTTAAAACTATTAATCTGATAGATTAATTAGAATTAAAGTAATGTGGTTAAAGAAAAAGAAATAAGCTTTCAAAGTTCTAAGAATTTAAACACATATAAATTACAATATCTTCTCTCCCGGAAATTAGAACGACAACTGCAAAAAATTAAATCACCTCATACAATGGAGGCCATTCAAGGAAATATCTTCCAATTCAGCCTCGTGCACCTCAGATACAAGATTTACAATGCAGCAGGGACGTCTTATGATTCAAAATAAATTATAAATTTAATTTTACTTTGGGGGTAGGGCTACGTTAAGAGCACTGACCACCTTTGGCTTAACCACCTTACTTGATCAAATCATACTAAATTTAAAAAAGAAATTAATAATTTTTAGTGACTTCCTTGGTCCCAAAGAGCGGAAAAGTTTCTTTATCTCAGGGCTCTCATTTTTATATAATTTGCAATCGTTACAACCGTAGTTAACACAATATTTAAACCAGGGCGCATTTCTTTCGAAGCCAAAGCTTCTCTGTGGACCATACAATGTGTCCAGACGCATTGAGGCGATTTTTTACAAGTGCTTGTTACTTTCGAACCTTCCGGATATTGAACGAGCACCATCGGTGCATATTCCGATGCAATTTTTGCATTCTATGTGTGCCTCATTCATAACTTCATTTGAAATAGCATAATGCTAGCGCTGTTGTTCTAAGTTCTGTTGATTTGCAGAAAAGTAGTTTTACTGCTGACATATTATCCCAAAATCAAACATAGGCAATTAAATGATCATCTTTATTATGCTTCATCAAACTGTATTGAAAACATTTTGTCACGCAACATCGAGAAAAGCTGACACTACATTTCCAGCTGTATCACCAATCCGACGAGCAACAGTATCATTTGAAAGAGGATTGTAATTCTTTTGAAAAATTAACCACAAACATAGTTTTTACAATTTCAATTGCTGCTGGCTTTTACATTACTTTTGTTTTGGCAGTTAGTTAAAAATATTTTAAAGACAGAATTCAAAATACTCAATATACATTATTGTTGTATATATTTTACTGTAAGTGGGGGGCGCGATGAAAATTATGATTGAAAACTGGGCCGCGAATACTGAAAGGTTGAGAACCACTGATTTAAACCATTCATTCTGTAATTTCTTCATTCATTCGGTAATGGTATACCGGAAATTCTGATTTACAAAATAATAGCTCTTATTACCACATATTTAGTAAAAATTACAAAACTCAACAGAAAAGTAATTTAATCAAATAAATGATTTTTATGCAATGATGTGAGGTATCATGATTTAACGCGTATTATAAGACCCCAAAATTTAACGCGTATTTTGTTGTTAATTTTACCAAAGCGCTTCCGTAAAAGTTACCGAGCTTTTTAGTATAGCAATAAAGAAAACGAAGGAAGTAAAGCTTTTTAGTGTTTCCATTGAGTCAGAAACACGGTAAATTTTACCATTTACTTACTGAAAGTTTTGACATACGTTTTTCCTCTAGTGAAGCATTGGGCAATTATAAATGGAGATCATAAGATAATATTGTTTTTAAGCATAATTATTGCGCTTTCCATTTTCCTTCTTTAATGCGTAATATAGTGGAAAAACCTTACTTGCAAAATTTTATTTTCATTTTTACCTTTAAGCACAACGTTTATTTACGCTTTTCCAAAATCAGCAGAGTTAAACCAAATTAGTTTTTTTGTCTGCGTATGCTCGGTACTACAAAGTTTCCACTGCTTTCCTTATTTATAAATTGCAATCAATCATTTAAATACATTCTTTCCTTTCTAGCTCTACATTTAACATTTTAATTAAATACTGTTTGACACAACAGACATGTAAGAAATTTGTTTCAATCTAATAATAATTTATGTCAAAAACGTTTGTTGCTCAAATTATTTCTTACTTGGTATAGCCCTCAAACATTTGGAAGCGATTTGATTAAAAATTCATTAATTTATACGAAAATTTTTTCAATATTTTATTATAAATGTATAAATATATAAGGAAAAAAAATTTCATGATATATTATCAGAGTTTATAGTAATGCCTTTTTTATAGTAATTTTACCAAAACGTTTTTCGTGTGCTATAGGATTTTAAAAATGTTAAATATGCTTCGTATACATCTGTAAATAAACAAATATTAAAATACTAATTCAGAAAAGTATATATTATTTTATTTTTTAAATCTGTCACCCGTAATAAAACTCGGTTTCCTGGAAAAAACAATGCGTCCAGGGATATTTTATTTTTATCACCACAATTATGTTTTTTTAATAGTAATGTCTATATTAAAGTAATTTTACCAAAACTTTTTTCCGTGTGCGATAGGATTTTAAGATTGTTAAATATGTTTCGTATGCATCTGTAAATAAATAAATGTTAAAATACTAATTCTGAAAAGTTTATATTATTTTATTTTTCAGATCTGTCACCCGTAATAAAACTCGGTTTCCAGGAAAAAACAATGCGTCCAGGGAGATATGTATCCCTGACATGCATTGCCTCTGGTCATCCAGAACCTTCTATTAAATGGACTCTTGATAGTATATGGCCTTTATCTACAAGACTGGGTGTCCTTATTAGCTCTTATCAGATGAGCAATGGTAATGTTGTGAGTTCTGTAAACTTCACATCCGTCGATGTCACAGATAGTGGTTTGTACACATGCGAAGCAGTTAATGATGTTGGATATGCCAGTTATTCAAGGAGGCTGAATGTGTTCGGGCCACTCTTTATTCGAACAGTTAATAATATGTCAGCCCTTTCGGGAGAAAGATTTCAAGCAATTTGTCCTTTTGGTGGATATCCTTATGAATCAATTGTTTGGAAGAAAGGTAAGTGATGCCATTTCTCTTAGATGTTCCAGTAATTGGATGGACCAATATATCTTCGGATAAAATATTAGAAGATTAAGGAATTGATTTATTTATAGATTTAATGTTTAAGTCATAAAAGCTAACATTTCACTCTAAGGATGATTTTTAAAATCGCATGAATAATTATTTTGGGATATTTTTTTTCCTTCTTTTTTTAAACTTAGTTTCTGAATGTATAAAGGAATTTGTAGTAATAAGTGATTTGTTAATAAATTATCCTTTTTTAATTTCCAAGTTTGAATAGAAATTACACTGGGAAAAAAAACTGTCATGATCTGTTAAAAGTCATCTACAGGAACATCAAAAAGCACGGTAGTTTTTTCCAAAGTGGTAATTATTTTGGTATAATTTATAATAAAATTTGATTTTAAAATATATCATAAAACTTGGTAAATCCTTATTACCGTCTGAAATTTTGTAATTTTATCATGATAAACTTACAAAACTATTAATCATTAACTATTTATTTAGTTTTTAAGCCTTTATTTTTTACTAAATATAACGTAAATAAGAGTTATAATTATGGAAACCTGAATTTCCGGTAAACTGTTACCATATGAACCTAAAAACTACTAAATCAATGGTTTAAATATCTTATACCAAATTATTTACTTATAACATGACAAAGTATAACTATTAACCGAAAAAATAATTTTTATTTCACCTGAATTACATTTCACATGCAGTGCAGTAATTTTACCAGAATTTTTTTTTCTCCGTGTAGTTTTTTGCCATGTTGAGATGGAAAAGATTTGATAATTTCATTATGCATAAGTATCTTACAATTAATGTTTAAAAATATTTTTACGAAAATATTTTCTTTAATACTTTTTTTTGGAATTTCGCTTCAGTTTAGATTTTGACAGTTTTCATTATGTTGATAAATTTGAGTGGCATTTCTTCTTACTTAAATGGAATAGATATTGTCAAGCTAAATTTTTTTTAGTCATTTGCCAGTTTCTTTTTGACACAAAATATCATTATGCAAATGTTTTTGAAATGCTACAACATGAGAATTATGGACCTAAAAAAACAGCATGCTATTATAGTCAATAGAAAGTTAAACTTAAGTTACAGGTTATTTTTTCTTGTATAAGTTTTTAAGTTTCATACATATTAAAGTATTATTTCAAACTAAAATAGTTTTAGCGCGAAAAGGTTATGCGTTTTTAAGAAAACTAATACACGGAAAAAACTAATAAAATTACCATACTGAATGAAAAAAAAGACAAAATTACGATAAATAAAAGTGTACGGTATTTCCATTCATTTGGAAATTTTTTCATTAATATTGTAACAGTATACCGACAATTCTGGTTTTCAAAATTACAGTTTTTATTATCCCACATTGAGTAAAAAATAGAAAAAATGAAAAGTAAATTTTACAGAATAAATGGTTTTTATCCCATGCTCTAGGTCCTAGAGATTGGGCATATATAGTATGCTGTAATACAAATGCTGTCATGCTGTAATACAAAATATTGACTGCGAATTTCCTCATTTTAACGCTATTGTATATATACATACATAGTAACCTATAGGGCTACATTGTGGGCCTCCTATTAGGCCTATTAGGCCTGCCATGATATCCTAGAGTCTAGGATATCATGACAGAATTACCAAAATTTACCACATTAACTAAATTTTATCACATATTATAAAATCGTATTTTATTGTTAATTTTACCAAAACTAATGCCGAACTTACCACATCGTTAAAACTTACCGATCTTTTTAATGTTTTCATATTGAAAGAAAATTGTAAATTTTACCAAATTCTGGTAGTTTTGATCATACTTTTTTTTTCTCAGTGAAGATATCAGTTAATTTTTAGTGATCATCGAACCTAAAAGATGGAAATGTCAATAACTGACAGTGCCATATTTGGTAACCATTTATATTTAATTATTTTTGACTAAACCAGTTTATTTTAATTAACGAATGTAGCAAGTGAGGTTTTTGAAACTAAAGTAAATTTGTAAAACAAATTGAAAGTAAAAGATTAATTTTTAGTTATAGAAACATGACACATAAAAACAGAATTTGGATTTAGCTAAATTTTAAACTAAAACTTTCATTATTATTTTTTTAATCTTCAGTGTCTGGTATTGTTTTGATGAAACAATTTGGAGTAAAATACTTAGTCCTGCTAAATATAAGAATTTGTATGACTGAGAAAAATTATGATTCATTGGTTGGTTGGTTTCGAATGCCTTTTTAGGCAGAGGTTGTGATTGTTCTTGTTTTCCACTGGTGTCATCTATGGCCAAGTTTTCGACTTCTGCCACACCCATTCGTCACACCCGTTTAAAGGGTGGAACCATTCATACATCCATTCATTCATCCACAGATCGTAATTTTGATCTGATTCAGAGAACGATCGATCTCCAATCCAGTACCCCCAGAGGTATTGATTTGTTATGGGAACATGGAGTAATTTGAGACTAGACAGATTTAGCGGGTATCAGTCCCCATTTTACTAGAGGGGGAGTCTTCGGCCGGCGGGAATCGAACCGACGAACTCTTGGACATGGGCCCAGCGCCCTACCGACCAGGCTATCCTGGTCCAATTAAGATTCATGAAATATAATATAGAGCAATGTGGTTTGCACTAACGTAATACAAGTTTATAGGCAAGATAATCCAACAAAAAATATGTGTCATTATAGTATTTATAAAAAATATATTAGCAATAAAACAAAATAATAATAATTTGAATAAAAATAGCAATATTAAAAATATATGTAGTTTCAACCAAATCAACCAAACAATGCTATTAAGCGAAACGATGCTATTGTGTATGCATATTCCTTTTATGAGTTTTTAAGTTTAAATGTTAAAGTATTTTGAAGAAAGTGCAGTTAAACTATGCTTCATTCATTTCATATATTAACTTTTACTATATATTAATAATTTGTATTTAAAAAACCCATTATGTTTTGGAAAACATAATATTTTCTTCCAAACGTTAAAAATAAAATACGTACGAACAATTCATTTTCGACAACAAGTAAACTAAAACTTCAGCATTCAAATTCATATACATGCCTTTAATTTAAAAATGCAAATTTATATCGTTATTTAAACAAAGTATAAATTTTAATCATTTAACCTTTTTTTTTTTAATTTGAAGATTTCTTTTTGAATACAAACCATTAGTCACCAACTCGTAACAATTAATCTAAGCAACTCGGTCCATCAAGAATGTAGCATCAATTTATTTCCCTTTTCAAAATATGAAACATTTTCTTTCAGTATTTTTCTAAACATTTATGCAGAGACTTAAGTACATCTTTCTTTAATGAAATCAGAGCGTAGCAGCTTTCATTTTATTAAAACCCAGTTTGTTTAAATGGGGTCGCTTCATGTAATGAGATTTACTGTATCAAAACTCAGGTTTTTCTCATTATGAGTAACTTAATGCATTTTTGTGGAGTTGTTGTAGTTGTTTTAATTAAATGTTATGTTTATGATTAAGCATGTGGTGCTTATTTTAAAAATAGATTTTTGACTTTTAAAGTGTATAAAATTCTAAAAAAGATATTCTATATTTTCTAATTCAATAGTTGAAAGAAAATATTAAAGAAATAATAAAAATTAAAAATTTAATTGGTTAAACACATTTTTTTCCAGAAATTGTTAGGAAACGTTTCATTTTAAACGTTTCCTGTAATTTGGCATGCATTTTTTTTCCTTCTACGTCTTAAAATAACTGAAAACAAACGCTTAGTGATTCATTGAATGTGTCTTCAGGATTTTGCTACGAAAACAATAAGTAATCAATACAATGTAAATAATTCCATTTGAAATAATTATTGAAGTAAAAAAAATATAATATCTCAAATTTAAAATGATATATTTTTGAAAAAAAATTAAAATTTAGGTTACAATTAAATCATAAAACAAAAAGTAAACTCTAATCCCTGTTGTTGTTGTTGTCGTGTCTATGCTAGTGCAAAGATTAGAGTCCTCCAAAAGTCTTGATAACAAGGTTTGCAAGTTCTGGAGCCCGATGGCCATGGAGAATTTCTATGGGAGGTGCTCCAAGTTAAAAGAGGGAGCCGATAATGGCCTGGTAGTCAAAAACATGATCTGGAGTTAGTTGCAGATGAGGACATACTTGCAGATGGGATAGAATTTTATGTGGGTGCGTGAGATCTTCATGCCCTTGAAATGTCCAGTACGTAGCCTAGCTATTGTAGAGGAGAGGTTTCTTGGGCAGTTTAGATCGGGGATTGTTGCCTTGCTAAAAAACTTGTTGTATATCCTTCGTCTGGCGACAGCATTCGCATCTGCACAGGTGTCGCGTGCTTGTTCATCCCTGTTAAAACTCTTATATATAAAAAATCCTAAAATTTTACGTAAACGTAATTCCTTTTAAGTGATAATTTGTGTAAATAAAATCAATGTGTTTCGGTTTACACACATAAAAAATAACATTTCTGGAGAATGTTACTGTTAGAATTATTTAAGGAAATAGTAATATAATAATTTTTTTTATTGAAATAATAATAATAATTTTTTAATAGATGACCTGAACATCTGCTTAGAAGTTTTTAAAGTAATAGGAAATTTCATAAATCGAGTAGCAATGAAAATACTAATAGTCAATTTCCAGTTTACCATTAAACTAGCAAAATCGAGAAAAAAAGAAAATATCATCGAGAAATTCAAATTTGTTGAAATAATTAATTGACTAGAGATTCAGAAATTACATCTTTCATCCGTCCAAAAATTAAGGCTATTAATTTAAACAAGATTTTTAAGGATTCTTCTACTTTTATCTTTCTATTTACGTCACCTAATCTTCCTTAATATTTAATTCTAAATTTTGTCCTAAAATAATGCAGAATTAGATGACAGAAGAGAAAATTAGTACAATACTAGTAAAACTTTGAAAAAAAGTATAATAAGCTTTTCTTTTACAAAAAAAAAACATTACTCTGATAAAGTATTTGC